TTAAGAAGCAATAAAATACACAGCCTACCTTGCCTATCACAGGAAGGTCAACTGAACACCAGGAATCAGCTCCCCAGTGTACAAAACCAGAGGCAAAGTCAGCAGTGATAATACCACACAGGGCTGCAAACACTACTGTGGTCCATCTTTCAATTTGGAAATGCCTTAAGATGAAGCAAAAGTTGGCTAACATCAAAATAATGCATGTATATATGCAAACTGTTTCTTGACTTCTTTTTCCTGGAAAATCACAAAAACAACAGCCATTATATCCATAATTCTAAAATTGACATTTTTATCAGAGGAACGGAAAAATGCAATTGATTAAGCTCGTCAAAGTGTTACGGGGTGAAACCAGAAATACAGCGTACACCTAGCGGAAATGACACACAGAATTGACTTCCCCGGGCGATGACAGTCGCCAACGTGAACAAGAGCATGTGGCCCCTCACCTTTGCTGTAGAGTTGGGCCAGCTCCTGAGCCCCCTTGTGGTGAGGGCCCCACCGGGGCAAGTTCTTCTGCTCCTGCGATATGGCCGAGTTCTCGTTGGGGTCGTCCTCCAGCATCGAGTTCTCAAGGATGTGCCTGTCCTTGACTGCCGAGCAGGCCGAGAGCCCCATGTCAAAGTCCATGGTTTCGCCAGCGCGCGCGCGCAGCACCACCAAGCCGACAGACGCGACCCCTCGGGCCGAGCCGCGGGCCCTCTGAACATCAAACCGCTCGTGGCACGACTGGGGGCGCGGGCGCGGGCCTGGCGCTCATGACAGGCCAGCCACGGGGGCCGCGCGGTGCGCAGAGGCGAGCGCCGCGACGGCGACGCCAGCGCTCATTGAGGAGCGCGGGGCGGCGGGGCTCAAGGCGGGGCGGCCGACGGCATCCATCCTGAAAGACAACCAACAGGTCTTGTTAAACGCGCGAGGCGCGGCGCACCGCGGGGCGGGTGCGGCGGGTGCGGCGGGTGTGGAAGTGAGGAGGGGCGGGGGCCACTGCTGCGGGGGGCGAGGTGACGGTCTTCATCACGCACCGTGAGCGCTGCCGTAAGTCCAGCAGTGGGTCCACGCTCACTAGACAAAGCACACACACTTCACACTTCCAGTTAGTCAGCACAACATCGGTCCTGCGGCGACCGGGCGTGCGCGGCGCGGGCGCCTTCCGCCTCCAACCCCCGCGCGACGGTGGTGCGGCGGGCGCGGGCGGCGGTCCTCCCTCAGGTTTATTTACAGCAGCGAGCAGGACGGTGTGATATGGAATGGGGACGCAACAACAGCGGCGGGCGGCGCAGCGGCGCAGGCGGGGCGCACCACCCGAGCCACTGCAAGGCAGTGACTTCCTCGGGCCCTTCCTGCCCTCCTGCGCCCCTCGGGGGGCCACCCCGCCCCGGCACCCCGCCCCGCCCTCGGCCGCGAGCACCCCGAGCACGCCCACTTCCCCCACTCGCCACCGCTACTCGCCCCCTGGCGCCACACAACTCGCCGCCACGCCCCTCTGGCGCGGCACGAACCCACACCGCGTCCGCGGGGGCGGGGGCCGGCGGCGTGCAAGGGTGTAGATCGAGCGGGGCGGGTGTGCCTACCGCCGTCGGGCTACTGCCGGGTTTTTCTTTTGCCCACTAAGTTGCGCTCTGTGTGTGTGTCTGTGTGTGTGTTGCGGGTAGGCCAAAGCAACACGCGATCCTAGAGGACACACTCTCACCCACGCCGCTGCTATGGGCCCTTGGCTGGCAGTGGCAGGTCACGGCGCGGCGAACCTGCCTGGCCGTGGGTCAGGGGAAGGTGATCGCGGAGCGGGGTGCGGCGGCAGGGCGGGGAGCGGGGCGGGGCCCCCCACAGGGCCAGCGGCGCTTTGAACGACATTCGCTCAGGTTTCGGTCTCGCTGCCGCCCTCCGGGCCCCTTTCAACACGCACCCGCACCACCGACCACCGGCTCAACCCTCCTGCGCGGCGGACGGGCTCGCGCGGCGCTCGCGTGCATCATGACCACTATTATTCGCACAAATGCCGGACCTGCAGTCCCCGCATTTCTCTCATATTCCTCCCCCCCCCC